TGAAGCGACTATAAACTTCAGTCGTTGAAATATCACCTCCCATATATTCCTAACAAGCATAACATTTACATGAACTGGAACTAAATGCATTACATGAATTACATTTGAATTACCAATGTATTCATACACTTCAGTTATTTATTCATGCTGTACTACATTTCACTGTCTACCTTTACGTACGGTTAGCTACCATGCGTTTTTTCTCTATCTTGTGTGGATATTATTGTTTTGTGTAGCTTACTGCCAAAAAACACGTGTACAATTTCCGTATGTTTTTCTTGTACTTTCGGTAATATATTTTTTCTGTAAATAAACATTAGTGTTTTGTTATCGTTTGTTTAATATTAGAAATGTGTTCATTCACAATAATTCCCTGTTACGTTTGCACAGGTAATGTTATATGCTTTGTTTTTGTGAAGACTTTTTCTTCCATGTGTGATCATGACTTGTACACTTTTAGTGCAAAAATTTTCAGCTGTCACTTGTTGCCATGTAACTGGTCTTATGGGTCTTAGTCAAGCTGTGTCATTACAGCTTTTAGTCTAGGAGACCGTCCAGAATGTTATGTTTTTGTTTTATTTTGGGAAATAGAGAGCCAGAAAGAGAAAGAGAAAGAAAGAAAGTACTGACACTGTGAAAACGGCGCCCCACCAATGGCCCCATTCCATCCTGTTCGTACCAAAGAACGCTCCCGAAAGTCTGCGTGTTCTGAACAGGCAAGCGCTTTCACTCGATTTTGAAGACACTATGCCGAACGAGATCAAAGACGTACGGCTAAACGCAAGAAGCAACATCCTGGCTGTCGACGTGCTGCACCCGAGTGCGCTGAGCATGCTGCAACAAGTAACACAGCTGGGAAACATTGCAGTTAGGTCCATCATATCAGCCGGTGGTGCGACCACATGAAGAGTCATTTGCGATATTAACACGGGAATCCCAAACGCAGACCTTCCAATATTTATAAAACCAGCGAGTCAAGACAACGTCATTGTCAGCGTTGGATCTCCCGCATCCCCCTCCCAAGCGCAGGGTAGCAAACCTGTTATCAAAAATTATCAAAAATTATCAAAAGCACAATACACGACACTACGCGTACTCTCACATGCTCTCCCAAAGTAACGGAATTTGAAATCAAGTTAGAACTACTTCGAGCAATCCGATGGCGTGCTGAACAAAGATACCCACGCATGGAGGCAATGGAAAAGAAAACTTAAGGATTGCTCGACGTATACAGAAGAAGGTTCAGCGCTGGACAGATAAACTCGAGTCAAAACGTTGGACTGCTTTTTGTGAGTCGCTTGATCGACGAAAACCTTTATCACAATTGTAGAAGATGGTACGAGGTCTCCGCACAAAATCCACTCAGTGGTCACCATTCAGGGCTCTCGCATTTTCTGAACAGACGTGGTAGAAGAATTCAAGGACAGGTTATCAGGGCACTCACAGTGCCCAATGGGCTATTGCTCTCGACCAACTGTCCACAAACACTAGATTCCGGCATAGATATGCCTTTTTCCATCGTTGAACTTAAAGAAGCACTAGCTTTGTGTGGACAAACGTCGGCACCAGGGCCTGATAGAATTTCCTTTAGGGCCCTGTGTCATCTGGATGAACGCACGATAATCCTGTTTCTGGATTTGTACGAAAAATACTGGCAATATGGGACACTCCCGACTTGCTGGAAGACAAGTCGCCTAGTTCTTTTTCTGAATCCAGGCAAGTAACCGTTGGAGCTCTCATGCTATCGCCCGACTGCATTGACCGGTTGTGTAGGCAAAGTTTTTGAGAGGATGATCTTGGCACGCCTGGAGTGGTACTTGGAGTTCAACAACATCTCCCAGTTGCCATGGCGGGATTTTGGCGAGGCCAATGATCGATCGACACCTTAGTTGACCACGTCACTTACGTTCAGCAAGAGAAAGGCCGTAAGCATCTCTGCGCATATTGGTTCCTAGACGTCAAAGAGGCGTAGACAGCGTTAGGCATGAACCAGTTCCCACCACTTTTTAATATGTAAGAGTAGATGGTCGGATGTATCACTAGATACGTAGTTATTTGTCAATGCGATCTTTCTTTGTGAGCACTGCAGGCGGTCAAACCTCTCCACATTACAGCCACCATGTCATTTCGTAGTCTGGCGTACTCAGCGCTGTGCTGTTGAATCTTACGCTGATTGCTCTCACTGAGCTGCTGCCAAGCACAGTCAGGCTAAGAATGTACGAAGATGATATCTGCGTTTGGGAATCGGCTGTAACACACCTGCAGTTGCGAGCGAGAATTCAAAACGCTGCCACTGAAACATTACGTTACCTCCGCAGTCGAAGCTTGGAAATTTCTTCAGAAAAATGCGCCCTCATAGCTATTCAACGCAAGCCTATGAATAGGTACGCCATAAACATCAATGATCAAACTCTACCATACGTTCAATCGCACAAGTTTTTGGACGTCATAATTGACAGGAATCTATTATGGGGCGATCGCGTTTCGTGCATGAAAAATGGTTATTAGACATCTGTAATTTACTGAAGTTGTTTGCAGGGAAGACTCTGGAATGAAACCAGGGCAATGCTACAGCTGTACAGGGTACTTTCTCGGTTCCCAGTGGTACAGATTACCGGCATCGACCAATGCAAGCAAAACAAGCCTGCGGACGTTATAGATTGTTCAGTCCCAGGCACTCCAGATTTACCTCGACTTGCCTCGTAGTGCGTCGACAACGGCTACTATAGCAATCGCTGGTGACCACCTCATCACAACACATACTGACGTTGAGACACTCATGAAACGTATAGGGCATATTGCTCGGACCCCCTGCGACCACCTAGGCTTTTTACCAGCTACAGACCACGTTCGTCCTATTGCCAAACGGTACCACGTATTGCGACTCTTTGCCAACATGCTTAACACCCGCCGCCAGGCCTTCGACACCTCATTGGTGCCTGACTCAGGCTAACATCAGGCTAACTATACCTGGCTCCCAGAAAAAAGCAGATATGTCGTCACCTGCTCCTACGCAGCTTGCTCTGTCTGTTCTTGTTATACGAGCCGTATCAAGGTTGGATACTCGTATACAATGACGGCTCTCTTTTACAAAACAGTTCAACGGCATCATTTGTTATGCCAACAGAAAACACAACAAGCGAATTCAAGACCTCCCACCTTACGAAATCAACGGGAGTGGAGCTCACAGCTCTTCGTGCCGCATTGAAATTCATCAGCGATCAGCAGCCTCAAGATGAACAATTTTCAGTGACCCAAAGCAGGCACTGCAATCTCTTCTATCACCTTTTCGCCACAGCCCATATGAACCACTTGTATTCGAGGTTGCAGAAAGGACTCTCCATTTCATGGATAAAGAACATGAAATAGCCTTTAAATGGCTTCCAAATCATTGTGGAATAATTGGCAATAAACGGGCCGATTGAGCTGCCCGTTCTGCTCATACTGAAAGCGATCAAATATTGATTCCTCTCTCCAGAACTGACGCTGAACGGAAACTGCGCATGCCTCCTCGCAAGCACACCACGTCGCAATCTAACAAGTCACATTTCACCCATGTACGATCATGTGCCTTAGACCGAACTCTGAGTCTTAGAACTCTTGCAGAACTTCGCCGACGAGACGCTTTTATGGTGTGCCGATTATGGTTGGGTGTCGCACTTACCAATGCCTACGCGTTCCGCATAGGAATGACCGACACCACTGCATGCAACCATTGCGGCAGTGACGAAACAACTTGGCACATTCTGTGTGAATGCCCACAAAACTACTCGCAGAGACAGTCACTCTGCAATGCGCTAGACGAACGGGACAACCAGACTCTTTCGGAAGGAAGAATAGTGCGCTATGTACAGGACTTTATGTCGCAGAGGAAGGCTGTGAAGGCGCTTCAGCGCTTCTTGCGTTCAACCGGCCTGGCTAAACGACTGCGATTGGAACGCCCTGTATGTGTGTGCATTGAAATTGTTTTTTATAATTTATTTTATATATCTCTATCTCTATGCTCTTTCCTATCCTCATTTCCCCAACCCTGTACGGGGTAGCAAACCAGTTGTAGGTTAACCTATCTTTCTCTTTATTTTATTTATGTTTTTTTTAGTGAACTGTTTGGAACAAAGCAGCATTGAGTCAGTCATGTTTTTTTAATGGCACCACACGAAAAGTAGGGCGTTGAATGAATTCACAGAGAAAAAAGGTCGTTTTGTATAGATTACGCTATATTCAACTACATGGGCCAACTTAACTTCACGTATATTGTGCAGAAGTTTAGCGGTTGATCTTTAAAAAGGAATAAATTCATAATGGAGAAATCATATCTGTAGCAGAGTTGTGCTATGATTAGTATATAGGACTCATTCAAAAACGGTTAAAGAAAGTGTAATTTATTTCACCCTTAACAATAAATATGGCGCCATCTTGCATATAACTACGAAGGTCCCAGCTCTGACATATGATGATGCTGATTTGTTAAAATCGTTTATTTATCTCTAGAAGTTCACTTGGTACGAAATAGTGAACGTGGCTCACAGGGCATATATTTTCGACTGTTATCCTCTGCAACGTGCTCTGAAATATTTTCACGCGCTTCGCCTTGTATAGTTATGATTTTTGTGTGTGAGCGAAGGCGTCTGCAAATATTGCGCAGATGCATTTGTATCAGGGTGGTCGCAGATGCTTTCCTTCGGAATACGTTATGTTTGAATAAGTGTCAAATACAGCGGTGTGGTGAAACCCAACAACGTGTCATCGAGAAATAAAATTACATTCAGTCGCGCATTGATTTTCAGGAGCACACCTAAAATAGCGGGGATGACTGACACTGATTCGTTATTCAAGCAATTGCTGAAACAAGTTGTAAGCTTTGTCTCGGGTGGCATATGCAGCCATACACAATTCAAAAGTTCAGTTGCCCTCCAAAGCATTTAATTTTACACGGAAATGCAAAGGCAAAAGCTCATTAGAATGTCTATTAATACAGTGTTTTCCTATTGCAGGGCTACCATATACGACAACATGACCTTCAACTGTGACCGTGAAAGAACAAGAGTACGAAGGATACGACAGATACCTTCCCCAAATAGCTAAACATATTTGCACTAAGGCCAAGCGTCCGGGCACGGATGGACTTCAGATGAGCATGCTGTCACTCTTTGCACATGCTAAGAGTTGGCACTAATTGAAGAGAATGATAATACCGCGTTTATACAGTTATCAGGAAGTTATGGACTCGTTTCTTGTCCAAAGCGGATGTACCACCGGTACCATTCGATTAACCTATCACAACATGACTTTGCAGAGGTATTAACAATAGTTTGAAGAGGAGCAAGTTCTCTGCAGGAGACTACACTACTGATGGGTTCACCATGAAGTGAACTGATAAGAAGATATAATATTTTCCTATTTTATTGGCAGCAGGATTTAAACTAAAGAGACAGTATCGCCTATATGTAGCATCTACGAGGCTCATTTATAATCACTGCACGGACTGGAACTCTCCAATGGAGCAGAAGATGAAAGGCTACAAAGCCACTGTCGACAAGACGTGGTGTTTATATTAGGGAAGCCAAGTCTTTCCGCGCACGTACGGTTCCCTGAAAACGTCCCGCCGTAGGAAGTGCGGGATAACGAAGGCGGAGCCATGTACGGACTTATCTTTGAGAACCTGAGTCAGTACGTGACCTCGGTGTACGGCGCCGAACGATGGGAGGAGATCCGGCGTCGGTCGAGGATCGATCTGGCCACGTTCAGCACCCACGAGGTGTATCCGGACAACTTCGTCCACAAACTCGTCAGCAAGGCCTGCAAGGTTAGTGACCTCGTCTTCATGGTCTTCCATATTTCCGTGGTCTAGCATGCGTTTTAGTTGAGTCATGTTTCACGCTCGGTGCTACCCTCACTGGTCCAGTGTCCAGGAGTTGTGTGCCACTAATCTGGTGGAAGCTTCCGGTACACACCCCGGAAGCGGCAGCGTAAAACTGGCCTTGGGTGGCGGTAAAGTTTCTAATCACGTACGCGACTACTAACTTACTTCCAAGCGATATAGCTTTTCTTTACGCTCTGTGAAGCCCTCCACAAAACTTTGCCCCAATGAAGCCGTTCGATCCGACGGAGAATATTCGCTTTAGACGGGAGCCAAATGGTATTTTGAGTGTGCAACGTTGGATTGCTTGTATGTGTAAGCCAATTATATTCATGCCCAAATGTATATGAGTATTGGGATATCGAAGTATGTTTTTTTTGCACCTACCAAGTTACACTTTATTATGCCAGCTTGAGAATGCTACTTTGTTTCGAAAGTGTGATATTTTGAAACGGTTTGAAAGTGTGAAGTGGAAATGAGACCTTTGTACATAGCATGCGGGTTGGTAGCAACATGGTTGATCAGATTTTAGTGTTACGCATGCTTGGTAGCCACCATACAAAATATTGAAAATGACGTTACATTTTGTTTTTGCAATATACTTTCGTATAGAGAAGCAGATTGACAGCTGCTCGAATGTCCATGCGCAAGTGTTTAGTTAAGCCCCCGCAGAAACGATATGTGAGGTAAGTTTGAAGAAAAAGTTCGGCAGATCCCACGTACCTAGAAATCACCCTTAAGCGAAGCATGCGGAGGAAAGGTGAAACCCTGTTCCAATTTTTTCATTCAGCGACATGGCATGAAATAATGCTGAATACATGTAGAAATGTTGCATGCACAGACATTTCTTGAAGAGTTGCAGATGTTCATCTAACCAGCTGTTTGCAATTGCGCAACGATGTCAACTGAAACATGCGTATTATCAACACCAGAAGCTGATATGAAGCGCTGATGCTCACGAAGATGCTGGCTTTGGACACTGCTATATAAATCAACTTCAGCGCTCGACACTTAACCACAATTGACGTTAACCCGACGTAATGGCTGTATCAAAGGAGTACGTATGTAATGTTTATAAAATTGGGTAGGCAGCACTGCAACCACTATTGACGTTTCACAAATCTTAGCGTCTATTCGAAAAGTAGTTCCGAGACGTGGCGTTGCTCTGTAGTAGAATGCTTGACTGCCACGCTAAATGCTTTGGTTTCATTCCTGCTGGGACCTTGAAATTTGTTGTTTGCATTCTTCGGTAGGTCAGTGCTGCCTATGTCAGGTGTTTATATCAATGACATTTATTCTGTGCCTTCGTTTGGTTGACGCCTCTTATGTTGGGTAATAACGTTTACGCGTTAAAATCACCGATGTGTGTTCTCGTCATTCCTGTGTAGGTACTAAGTGTCCATCGCCTGCGGCACATACTCACATACCAGCGGCACATACCCGCCCGTGGGTTTGTGGCAATGTCTGGCGGGAAGTGTTTGACGACGTACGCGACAGGATTCCAACATTATTCATGTCTTGACCAGCGGGTCGAATTCGTCAAAGCTTCTTACTTTGCCATGCTAATTTTGGTTCACGCCAAGTTAAGGGGTTGACCACGAGAGCACCCGAACGTAAGTGGATAGATAGATAGATAGATAGATATAGAGATAGATAGATAGATAGATAGATAGATACGCGCTCAAAGTCGTAGAAGTTCGCTAAGAAATGCTTTACATTTAAAACGCTGACTCAATCACGTACTGCAAGGATCTCTAGTAGGAAATATTTACGAAACTCACTCGCTTTCTCTTTTCACAGCGTATTTTTTAATTCAGTAATAATTAGGTTTTAAGGTTCTGTCAACATGGGCTCCCCCAATCCTATTCTTAAGCAATTTCTCCTCGTATTACATCACAATCACGCACGGACAATCACGAACATTATATTGAGACGAGCGCCCCTTGGTTAAGACATACGGGTGAGTGTCAGTCGACTCATGGTGGCGTTTGTCATTCAGTAATCAACAATCTCCTGGGATGCGGCACTCTTATTAAGAGAAATTGGCCTTTCTAAGCCGGTGTGTATGACACAGCGAAATATTTTTCCTGAAGTGTCTCTGTGCGATAATACGTGAACTGAAGTAAAACATTTCGTAAATGAATGATGGCGTGTTTGACAATTTTTTGTCGTCTTTCACTGCAGCATATGCTGCTTATAATGGTAATAAATTATTTAAAATGCACCCCTTTTCCATCAGTGCCATTCGAACACACGACCTTGGAAACGGCGCATCTCATGCTCTATACCAGTGGAGGTATAGGAAGGAACGCGATTCCACGTCCACTGCTACATGATTATGTGCACGTTCTCCGTGGGTGTGTTAGGCAGCACCGCTTGTAGGCAAGGCAGCGACTGTCGAGTGCTCTGCTAGAAAATGCCAGAGAGCTCGGGATCTCTGCACTAAGTAGCTGCTCATCAATAAATCCTCGCAAGCTACTTGACGCATTTGAATCTGCCAGGACGAGGACCTCTCTGTGAGTAAATGAAATAAAAGGAGGTCTTGCGAGGCGTACATTTTGATTTTTGTTTAGACAAAACAAATTCAGTGGAAGAACAACTCAAGAAGAAGGATATGCTACTGACCACGCGCAGGGAAGCAAACGCATGCACACCAGTAAAGCCGCCACTACATTTCCCAAAGTTTTATTAGCCTTCTTACTTATCTCAGTCGTAAAGGGGTAGTTGTAACGAAGTAACAATATTTTATTTATCTATCTTTTCGGAGATAGCAGTATACTTCACCTAGAATTTGAGTACAGGGGGAATACTGTGTTGCATAGATAATTTAATATAACGCGGACAATAATCACCCTGTCACACAATTAGACAAATTATTACTGGCGAACACTGGTTGACAGTGGGTGCGAGCATGAACGAGAGTGAGGGGTCGGGTCACTTGAACGTGTGATGTCTCACGAACCAAGGCCCAAGATTCGATACAAGCGCCAATCGTGGCCGAGATCTGTACGGACGACGACGACAAAATTGCTGATACGTGCTCGCAATCGCACCCGCACGTGCCCCTCCCCAGAGACGCGTGTGAGTCGGCGCGGCGTGCGTCCAAGCATCGCGACATCGCGACCGCACTTGACCGCGAACGAGCAGCAGCATCCAGTGGGCCAGTGAGCCATCGGGGCAACGTATCACATAAAGAAGCGCACGAAATCTTTCGCCATAGCTCGCACGCGTCAGCGTTCCTCCCACCCGGCGCTTAAAAAAGATTGATCGGCGCGTGGGTCATGGACAAGCCCAGGGCGATCGTTGTTTCCGTACGCATGCGTGCCCAGTGTTTCTTTACAGCAAAGGCCACCAGTGGCATTCGGGAAGCGAGTGATGTTATTTCCTTTCTATGGCGTTAGGCGTCGCACCCTCGATAGCAGAGGGTGGGAATGGTCATCCGCTGTCGTGATCCTTCACCGCGTGCGAGAATGCACGGCGAACCGCTTCTGTTCGGGGTCAGATAGGTCGATGCGCATGGCCTCCAGCGTCGCTGCCACGCGGCAGTTCGCTGGAGGCAATGACGTGGCAACTTGCACATTCGTGCTCATGTTATATATCAGATTTAATTGCAATCGCTATCTGTTTTAAACTGGCGTGGTTAGCAGGTGATCATTGCAGACAAGCGCTACAGGTACGTCCTGTTCATGCCATAGTGAGGTTGCATCATAATGATGATTCGTGGAGTCTTACGTTTAAAGACCATGACATGATTGTGTCGTATGCCGTGGAGGTCTCCGAGATTTTCGGTCGTGTGGTTTTCCTCAACGTGTTTCAACCTTGCACGCTACACGGGCCTCTATGACTTCGCCTCCATCGCGACTCGACCGAAGCGCCCAAGATCGTCCCCGCGACTGTGCGGTCAGCAACGTAAAACGTAACCACTATACCAACAAAGTGAGCGGTGAATACTTCATGAGATGCCAATATTGCGACTGGTGCAACTATGTAGAAATGCTACAGCACAGATTGCTTACAGACGCAAGCTTCTTTTACCGTATGCTGTAAACTGAAAAAGAAATGGCCGAATATCGCCCGCACTGCAACCAATACTTGCCAGAAGAGTTGAAATCTGATAGATTTGATTCATCGTACCACAATGAAGCGAACAAAAGCACAGCGCACGAGAAATGGGTGTTTGTGCTCGCCTCTTTCTCGCGTACCATGTTTTGCTGGCTTTCTTTATTCTTTGAATATACTGGGTAGTTAGGGCGAAAAAGAACTACCGATAGATTTCATAATACGTTCTGTTGTACAGTAACGCTTTCGTTCAGGCTACTAGGTGTATACTTAGAGCACAGCGCATGGCTTCGCTAAAGAAAAAAAAAAGCACGGACGAAGAAGACGTGAACGGAAATTCTCTCCTCCTGGGTATAGAAGAGATGCATAGAAATGAACCCGTCTCTTGTACATGTCTTCCTTGTCCGTGTTTTTCAGCGCAGTCATGCATTAAGTTCTGTACTACAGGCACAAGGATGAAGCAAGGCTTGCAATGGTGGATACCCGGCACGTCGATAACAGCGAGAACACATGCTTGAGCCAGCCTTCATTTACCTTGCACAAGGAACCAACTAAATGGCTGAACAGTTAGCCTATCTCTCACGTATACTTACACGTGTGTCTTATATATAAAGGGTGGTATCACACATGAGGCGGTACAAAAATTTTTCTTTGTCATCCTTCTTTGAATTTTAGTGTGCCCTTTCAATTGATAGTCGTAAGTGCTAAAAACACAATGCTGTTTTGAGGCACGCCATAGTAAAGGGCTCCAGAAATTTCGACTATGCAGTGTTTTTAACGTGAATCCAAAGGTATAAGCCCACGGATTTCTCGCATTTAGCCTCCATCGACATGCTACAGCAGCAACCAAGATCAAACCGTCAATTTCCTGTTAAACGGCCTAGCAG